GATCGAAAGATGCCTGGCAATCCATGAAGCAAGACAGGACGGATTCAACAAAATCCATACATCCCTAGCTTAGGCCCTCAAAACCTTGTCTAAAATAATAATAATAATAATAATAATAATAATAATAATAATAATAATAATAATTATTATTATTATTATTATTATTATTATTATTATAACATTTCTGTTTCTCCATGGAGATGCATAGGCGTGGAAAATGTAACAGAGCTTGTACAAGACACTGATTCCTTAAAACCTTGCAGGCAGAAAAGGAAGGAAATAAGATGGTATAACATGCGCAAGTCGGCCAATTCTGCACAAATTGTGCTAAGGCCAGGTGCGCTTTGGATGCTTATTTGTACAGATTTCCAGTTGGTTTTAAAAGAAGCACAAAGCTTTATCTCTCTTAGGGACTGAAGTCTGCAGGGTTGCTTGACTATCAGTTGGCACCAGCACAGGGCTAACAAACCAGAACAGGGATGGGGGGGGGGGGAGTGTGAAAACTGGTCAGATTTCCACGCTTCTGTCTGATTCTTCACACATCCCACCAGTGAAAACAAACGACTGCAGGTAAATCGGTCATGGGGTGGGGAGTCCAGGGGAATTTCCCACCCTGTCCATTACCAAGTTCACCCCGAACCTTTCTGTTTTTTGAAACAACAGACCAACCTCAGGCTTAAGCCAAAGCCCCTGCAGCCAGTAAGAGTTTGTGACTGTTAGGTCTCCACTGAACAGACTCTGAAATAGGTAATGCAGCTCGTAAGCAATATCTGCAGGTCTGCAGATTGGTGGGCAGAAGACTTGGAGTAGACCATGGCAGGTACTTCTTCACGTGGTGCGTGGTTAATCTCTGGAACTCTCTGCCACAGGCTGTGAACGTGGCCACAGTAGATTTGAGGGGTGTTCAGGCTTTTTCCTGGAAGAGGTCCTTCAGTGGCAGCATGGCAAGCAACCTTGAGTGGGTACCATGGCCTGCATTTTTCAAAAAGGGTGTCAGAGAGAGGAAGGTCAGGATCTCGTCTTGCTGATGCCGGAGTGCAGGACACGGAATAATCAAGTCAAGTTGCGACAACCCAGATTCAGGCTGGGCATCAGGAAAAGCTTCCTCACTGTCAGAGCAAAACGGCAGTGGAACCAGCTGCCTGGAGAGGTGGGGGGCTCTCCCACACTGGGGGCATTCAGAAAGAAACTGGATAGCCACCTGAGTGGGATGGTGTGACTTGGTGTCCTGCAACAGCAGGGGTTGGACTAGATGGCCTCCATGGCCCCTTCCAACTCTGCTCTTCTAGGATTCTGTGATCTACCCAACAGATGATCAAGCAGTTCCCACACGATCATGGTCGCCATCCTCCCTGCTCAGTCTCAGCACTGTGCCTGAAATTCAGTCCCAGTGTGCATTGCTCCCTGCCTGCCTCTTGCTGATTGGTCCACACACAGAGTCTGGATGGCTGGAGTGATTCCTGGAGATGCCATACGAGGCACTATGGTAGTTGCATACCAGGACCATGGAAACCATGATCCTGAGTTCAGACAACACCACAAACCACCAAGAAGCTACAGAACAAGCCATTGCTTCTTATTGTGGTTTCTAACTTGCCATGGTGAAATAGCTTGAGTGGGTTCAGATGATACCACAGTTCCATAATGGTAAAAAACCCACCATGGCTTGTGTTATCTGAATCCAGCCAGTGTCTATTAGCCACGGCAGCAAAATCTAGTCCTGGGGGAGGGCCCTTGCGAGGTCACCCGCTGCAGAATTGCCCCCAAAGTGAAAACGAATCATTCTACCAGAGGACAAAAAAGACTGCAAATCTGCCTAAAGTTTGCTCATTTATATGCATCAATGCAAATTTAGAAATATTCCCTAGAATTTGAATGAAAGTACAGGACATCAGATGGCTAGTCCAGCCGGCTAGTCTCTGTCTCCAACTGCCTTTAATTCTTTGCTTCCGTTGTCTTTAAACTTCTTTGTATTCCACCCAGAGCTCATTGGCTACTGGGAAGAGAAGAGATGTAATAAAAAATAAGAAGAAATTAAAAAACTAAACTGGAATTGGACATGGCAGCTCTTCAAATAAAGGACAGTGCTCTGGTACCTATTAAGCGGAGGGCAGTCGGTTACCAGACCTTAGCCTCTCCCACAGCTGCGCTTCCCAGACATGTTGCTTCATCTTGGAGCGAAGAGAAGCAGCAAGGGATGGGATGGGGAGCAGGCATGTGTCTTCCATCCTCCACCTCTCCCCTCCAGATCCCGCGGCTGATTTGCTAACCCAGGAGAATCCTTCTCCCCTTTTGTAACCCCTTCCATCCTCCTGGGTATCATTCAAACCAATGAACCTTTGCTCCAAATATTTTTTGTGGAGGAGAGAATATTTGGGGGTGGGCGACCGGTTTTGTTTGACTTTTTCACTGGAGGCCGTCCTGGCTTGCGGGAGCAGCTGCGCCGTCGCCTGCAGTCCAAAGCTAGACAAACACGCAGCGTGTGACTGCAAGTTGTAGGCTTCAGCTGTGAGACTTTGCAATGTGTTTTGCAAAGAATCCCTTGCTGAGCCTGCCCGGGATCTGCAAATATTTACGTACATCTGCTCCCCCCTCCGCCGCCATGAAAAAGTGAGTGGTGCAAAGAGTCGGCTATTGAAAGCCCAAGGTGGGGGAGCTGAACCTGGATCGAAACTCAAATCTGAAATAACAAACAGAGGGCCTGGCTGGCTCAGAAATAAATAAAAGGACGGACCGAGAACAAAATCTCAGCACTTCATCAATCCGGCGACTTCCCATAAAGCATTACCTCATGAGGAATTTCATATAAATCTTTTTGGATTCATTTCCATCCATTAACCGAGTGGCCCATGGTTGGGGTCATGCTCCTCCAGCCCCCATTTCCTCCTCGTGCCTCTTCCCCAACCTTGGTTGTTGAAAACTAAAGTTTCAGAACTTTGGTTCAGAGCAGGAAGGAGGGAGAACTTGGTTTCGTTTACGTTTTAATGCGAACTCACACATCGCTTGCACTTTTGACCTGATGCTCAGTTATGCTTTGAAAGCCGCATTCTCCAAATTTTGCAAAGGAATTCTCTGCTCAGAGAGGTGTGCAAAAATGCCTCTGTTCGAACCACGTATGTGCACACACAAAGGTGTGTCTTGATCAAGGCAGCATTTAAAAGGATTATATGAGGCAAACAGCTTGCAAACTATGAGCACGTTCAACAAAGTTACATACCAGAAACATGTCCTTGGAGAAAAAGCATTGCACAAATGTGTACGCATTTCTGTACAAAGTTTGAAAAAAAGGGAATTCTTGGAATTTGGAAAGCACCAAAGCTAAGATCAGAAAAACAAGAAATGGGAAGAAACCAAAATGGACGTATGCGTCCATATTCATTTTGGGCAGGCAGGCCATGTCAGCAGTTGGTGCGTCTGGAGGTCTTGTGGAGGGGTGTGTTTGAGGTTTCTGCCAAATTTTCCTAGGATTCATTTTTTCACAGGAAAAGCAGCAGGATCAGACACATGGGCTTGTAGAAGGTTCAGCCCCTGACATTTCCTCTGGTTAAAAGATCTCCTTAGGATGTTTAGGATCCTGGATTGTGGGTGCCTTGTGGCAAGGTTTCCATGGCCATACAGGTGCTGGTCTTAACCTATGAAGCCCTACATGGCTTGGGACAGCAATACCTGCTGGGGCACCTTCCCAACCCCAATCTACCTGGACACTCTGCTCAGCCACTGGGCCTTCCTCCACATGCCACCCCCGCGGAAGGCTTGGACGATGGCAACTGGATTATGTAGTGTGCTTTTTGTGGGGCTGCCCTTGAAGACGGTCTGGGTTTTTCTGTTGCTCCAGAACAGAACTGCCAGGATATTAACAGAGACCAGCAGGTATTCACATGTAACGCCGGTCCTCTATCGTTTACACTGGCTGCCAATTGAAGCCCAGGCCCAATATAAAGCCCTAAACGGCTTTGGTCTGGGATACCTGGACTTGGATACCTGAAGGGATACCTGAAGGAACGCCTCCTTCCCCATGTGCCCCCCACCCCTTGAGATCGGAGGCAGAGGTCCTGCTCTGGGAGCCCTCCTTGAAGGAGGTTAGGAGGGCGAGTACCCAGAGCAGGGCCTTCTCTGCAGTGGCACCCCATTGTGGAATATGCTCCCCAGAGAGGCTCACCTGGCCCCAATGCTTTTATCTTTTTGGCGCCAGGCAACCACCTTTTTATTCTCCCATTATTTTAATGTTTAACTGGTTTTAATTGTGATTTTATGGTGAATTGCTGGATGCTGTGCTTGTTGTAAACTGTCCCAAGACGTTTGTAATGGGATGGTCTATAAAAGCTTTAAATAAATAAGTGAACTAGTGGGGAGGGCCTTTTCTGTAGTGGCCCCCATCTTTGGAACAACCTCCCTGCCACAGCCCACCTGGCACTAAATTTGCCATTTTTTCATCACCTCCAAAGACCTCCCGGCTCATTCAGGGGCCTGACACAAACATTGTGATGCCTTCCCTTTGTTCTCGGCAGGACTTTTTATTGTCTTGCAATGTATTTTATGCCATTTAAAATGAATCTTTAATGAATGCTTTACATAATGCATGCTATCATTTTTATTCTTTGTGGTAAGCCACCCAGAGAGCTTTGGCTATCGGCGCTATAGAAATGGAATAAATAATAATAGCTCAGACATGGGATTTTAGGAAGCGGTCCAGAGGCCTTTCCTTTGGAACACTCCCATACCCTCCCTTCATCCATCTTATTCCTTCCCACCAAGAAAATCCATTAAGCAAGGAAAGACGGCTGGCCCGTCCAACACCTCTTGCTTCCTAGCCCACTGAAATGGGTTCAGACCCTTCTATGGGGAGGGGAGTCGAAATAATTTGGTTGCGTCCCAATTTGACCTTGATCAAAGCTGAACCCTTCTAGTCTAGGGCCAGCCTGGTGGCTTTCCCCCACCGAACGCCCCGCCGTGTCCCTTCCTGCCCCGAACCCCCTCTCACCTCGCTCTCTCTCTCCCAGGCAGTGCAACAAGACCTCCAACGGCAGCGACAGCTGCGACCTCATGTGCTGCGGCCGCGGCTACAACCCCTACATGGACAAGGTCGTGGAACGCTGCCACTGCAAGTACCACTGGTGCTGCTACGTCACCTGCAAGAGGTGTGAGCGGACTGTCGAGAGATACGTGTGCAAGTGAGCCCCCGCCGGGCCGCCCCTTCTCCCTGGGACTGCGCACCGGAAAGCCCACGCCACCCCTCCCAAGCACGCCTAGAGCAAGCCGGGACGCCGGAGCCTACGTTTGCCTTGCCAAAAAGCCACGCGACTCGGTGGACAGCGGCTGAATGCTGGCATTTAGGAAATGGTCACTCCCGGGCCAGGAATCTCCCACGAGCCCCAGAGGAGACAAGACTAAAGCAAACGGACAAACGTGGCCGTGGCCGGGTGAGATCTGCACTGCAGAAGCAAACGGAAAGGCCAAGCTCTAGGGTGGCTGTTTGGCATCGGCTCCCCCCCCCCCCACCGCTTTCCTTCTCTTTTGGCGATTCCTGGTGGCTGGGTGCCTTGTGTGGGCTGGAGGGGGTGGGGGGTTGGCTGTAGGAGCGTCGGTCGCTCAGAGTTGGGGGCTGGAGAAATAAGAGTGCATGAAAGTAATCCAGGAAAGCATTCATTTCTGTGTTGTAACGCAGCGGACGTGACTCCTGGAGAGAGCGACATTCGATCCCCGCAAGAAGGAAATCCTCCTGTTTTCCAGAAGTAGTTTTCACTCCCTCCCCCTTGACAAATTTGTTCTCTGTTTAGAAGGGAGCAAAGAGAGGGGGGGCTTGGACCCTTTAAAAGCTGCGTGGCCCTTTCTCCAGGTTGAATCGAGTGGCCTGTGGAGCAAATCATTGTGTCAGATGGGTCACCTTGAGGAACTGGTGCAGTGACGTAGGAGGGGCAGCCGGGGTTAGAGGCCCCAATCCCCAAAGGGAACTCGAAGCAAGTCCCAACGCTGCAACTTGATTACTTTCTCCTCCCTGTTCTGCTTTGGATTTGGCAGCGGAAAGGAGAGTCTTTGCCATGGAAAGGGTCAGATCACCCGAGACTGGCTGCAAGAAATCGTCAGATGAGATCTTGGTTTCCATAACAAACCAAGAGGGGCCCCTTCATTTTGTAGCTGCCTTGCAAGGCTTGGCTCCCGAATGCCTTCCAAGCGCAACGGACGAGAAGAAGGCAGATGCTGCCGCCGCCAGACTCTGCTCCTGGGCTCTCTGATGGGATTGTCGGACACATCTAGGAAATCGGGTGCTCTCTGCCTGGGATGACGGGCCCATGCAACCGGGATCTGGAAGACCAGGGAGATCCTCAGGACCCACGCCTACCTCCAAGCAGGTCCTGCAGCCAGACTGTCCCTGATGAATGAGGCCATGGACTCCTCTCAAAAGCGCTCTGGAGAAAAGTAGCTCTTACCACCGGGAAGGCCCGGGGTACAGCTTGGTCGTTGCTAGAGCCAGGGCTTAGCAAGCTTATGACCCATCCCAGCTTCAGAGGGCCGATTTTGTCGCATCAGCTGTGAAGCATAGAAGCGCTGTTTCTTTTCACCCCTCCAGCCACCACTCCATGCTTTCGAAGGGGCTCTGCATCCTTACTAAGGTTGAACTGGAGTAACAGGTCTGCCAGGCCTGAATGCCTCTGAGCATGTGCGTATTGCACTGCAAGCTCACTTAAGTCCCAGCACCACCTTGACTGCAGGAATAAAACTTCTGCACTGGCTGTTCCCAGTGCAGAAGTTTTGGGGGCTCAGGGCTCTTGGCCCTGGGTTCAAGTTCTAGCTGCTCCGTTGCAGAAGACCCTTGAGCTGGGTCGGTGGGTCTCTTCTCATGACTGCGGATCTCCCTTCGCAGCAGAGTTGCCCTTCCTTCCAGAGCAGCCGACCAAGAGCAGTGGCGTTCCGGGGCAGACTCGGTTATCCACATATTTGACAGGTAGCAACTTTTAGCGTTGGTCTCCAGGTTCTGGAGTCTCCCTTCTCACCCCCAGGGCCCCCACCAGAAATACCTCCTCCCGATTACCACCACCACCATCGTGATGATGCTGCTTGCTCGAAGCAGAGAGGCAGAAAGCAAGCCAATGGGACTTCTCCTTCTCCTCACCACCCCCATTGACCAGGCCCCAGCAAAAGGCAAGTAGCCCAGCAGGCCACACCTGGCAGGCCCTTGGCAGATGCCCGAACAGTCCTACCCTTGGCGCCAGTCCTGCCATTTATGCACGGCTCCCCAGGTGGAAACTCATCAGTGGAAAGAAGAGCATCTCATGTGCATGCAGGTTGCGTCCACTAACAGAGATCACGAGATGCAAGCCGAGGGGCGCCTGTGGCCATGTGCCGTGCCTGCCTGCTCGGTCTCCTGGCAGAGGTCCCCGTGGGAGGGAAGGCCCTCAGCCAGTGCCCAGTGATGCCAGTCCTTACAGCCGCAGGGGGCGCCGTCTCGGGCTGGAATGGAGGGCTGTGTGATTTCGGCCCAGGAGTCTTTGATTGCGACTGTGTGTGCGGCTCAGAGCACCCCAGCAACGGCATGCTGGCTGGACAACAGGGTGCCATGAGTGGCAGGCCATGTGGGAGCGGGTGGAGAAAGCACCTCCGTGACTTATTCCATGGGCATCCCTTCCACTCAAGTGGCCAAGAGGGACAGCAGATCCCGGCTCCAACCTGCAAGGCATTCCTCATCTGTTGCCGGCACAGGATGAGTATTTCAAAATTTCACATCATGAAAGGGCACGTCTATTCACTTTTGCCCGCCACCCAAGAGGCAAGTGCCTCAAAGAAACAAGAAGAGGACACGGATCCCAGGCCAGGATCCTCATGGAAAGAGTGAAGGAGGAGGAGGAAGGGGGCAGGCGCAGATGAGAGAGCTGCCACGGGATTTGGCTAAGCCATGATGGGAGGGGAAGCAGCGGGGTCTTGTGTCTTCCGGGTCGGAGCGGAGGGGTCCACATTGGGCCTCAATCCAAACCTTTGGGGAGCTCTCCATGGTGCTGAGGTTATTTTGGGCCCAGGTTTCAGCACCACGGTCAACTCCAACTTGAAATTGGAGCCTGCGGCCGCCACACAAAGGAGGGCAGCCTCACTCGGTCTGCTGGCCCGGGAAGGTCATCGCAACTCACCCCGGGGCGTCTCTCACACGCATGGGGGCTGCTGGGCTATGGGATGCTTGAAGCAACTAACACACCACGTGGGAACGTCAAATCGCATAATACGTGAGGACGAGACAGAGCTTTTGATCGAGGCTGGCGGGGCTCAGCACTTGGGGGTGCTGCGGGCAGAGGTGCAGAACCTCAGGGCCACGGGCCAACACTGGCCCACCTGAGGGCCCCACCTGGCCTTTCCCCTGGCCCCGCCCACTTCCTCCAACAGCCAATGATCCGGTAGTTCCCCGGCTTTGCAGAATTCCCCTGCACCCTGACTCCATGGCTTGAGTATTGGCAGTAAGGTTAAGCTAAAAGACACGGCGATTTTGGCTCCACCCCTTTTCTCATTGGCCCTGCCCCAAACTGGATTCTCTGAGATCGTGTTTGACCCCTCGGGGGGCCAGACTCCTGTGCGGGACACCGTGGTTCGTGTGCAGCCAGAGGAAGGAGCTGGGCATGAGCTAAAAGGCGACACAGAAATGCCTGCCGTCTTTCCCACTGGGGACAAAGGCTGACTGGCCGATGCACCGAGCCTCACTCCAGCCAATCCACCTGTGTGCGTGTTGTGTGTTGTGTGTTGCATTACAGGCAAAGAGCCCTAAGAACCCCAGAAGGGTAGCTAGGAATTCTACACAGCAGAGGAAGTTTGCCATAGACCTCGTGGAAATATTGCAGTGAGATGCACAGAACCACTAAACAGTCTGGACGTACATATTTTATTTTGTATGCGGAACATACAGAAATATTTATAAAAATATATCTGATGCTTTTCCCTCCATCCATTCTACTTTATGCATACATATATATGTATATATAAAATATATATTATATATTATATTATAAACAAGCTTCACAATGGTATGAAATAAAGGCTGGAATTACAGGTCCAGAGTATGTGCCTTAAGAATTGTTATTAATCTGCAAATTGGCTTTGCTTGGAAAAGAATTTGTGACTGTCTTTCTAAATGCAATTTAGGTCCAGTGTCTGCAGTCCGAGACCCAGCAGGGCTCATGACAGAAATGTGCTCAAGGGTTCAAGCAGTCCTGTTAGTGCCAAACAGCTGGATCTGGTGGCCTCCCTTTCAATTTCCCACAATGCCCTCAGTGCAGTCATTCCAGGGCACTCTGGGAAAATTAGATGGCAGCTCCCAGGCATCTGCTGTTGAAACAGGCTTGTGTGAAAAAGCCTGCCTGATGTCTCTCTTCCACCAGAAGTACTGCCAGTGGGCTCACCACTGAAACCAGCGGTGTAGGGGAACTCGGGTTTATAGGGGCACCACACTGGCCCTTTTTGATTAGCGGGGCCACCCACATCCTCCACACACCACCCTCTTCAGAGATCCCTCTTACCGCTGAACTTAGCTGCACCCCCAAAGGCGCCGGGGGGGGGGGGGCGAGAGAAAATGAATCCTCCCAGCAGCCACATGCCGTTCTTTGTCTTAATGTTGGGCGTGTGGCTTGATCTTGAATGGGCCGTGAAGACCCACAAGCTTTGCCAAGTCCGGTGGAGAGGACAAAAACGCTTGCGCTGCTTTGCTGATGTGGCTCAACGGAGCTACCTGGATTTTGGGCCTTCCTTAAAGGGGTGGTGCTGAGGATCGTCCTGACGGACAAGAGTGAGCACTGCCATCATGTCACTTCTTACCCATGAAGCCCTTCTTATCCCCGCCCCAAAAGGATGCCGACGTGAAGATCTAGAGGACGAACAGGAGGTCAGAGAGGTTGTGAGGGACTATCCAACTCCTCAGACAATTTTCTGGAGGATAAAGAAGATTTTTCCTGCCCTCTGACCCCTTGGCAGGATATTGCTTTATTCTTTGGCATCGGACGAAAAACCTTTTTAATTTTCCCAGCATTTTAATGTTCAATTGGATTTATTCTGGGTTTTATTATTGAGGTTGGATGCAGTGCCTTGTTTTGCTTTATATCTTCAGGGTTTTTTTCCCTTTTCTTTTTCTGGTAAGCTGTCCTGAGACGCTTGTAGTGGATGGCCTAGAAAAGAAGTAAATAAATGAATAAAATCAGGCTCAA